AAAGTGATGCTTTGAAACGTAAAACGTTGTCTGGACCTTCGTCTCTCTTTCGGTAGCGCGCGGCAGATGATGGGTTTCAATGTTTGTTGAGACAGCTACTGTTACTTTATTAATATAATTGGCCGGCTGCACATCATCTTCTGGAGCAACTTCATTTCATCATCTGAACAAGCCAGCCAACCAACCACACCTAACCACGCAGCATCTAGAACCCAGTCCCCATTGGCACAGCATGACCGTGAGCATGGGCATGAACGTGGCGACGCATGACGAAAGGCAGCAGCCCATATAAGGTAGGGCTGATTCATATGGTGCATCGTCTGTTAAAACTGTTTTCAGCGGAACGTCGCGTTAATTGGAAACGAAGAGTGCCGGAATAACATTTTCTATATTCTACGAACGCGTGTGCAGGTAAGTCTGCAGTTTTGCAAACGTTGCACCATATTAGTCAGCCCAAGTAACCACAGGGACGCCAGGTTAGTGAATTTGTTTTTTTAGTTACATAATAATTCGGTTCGGTTATCAACTCGGCTTTTTTCCGATTTCGATTCGACTTTCGGTCTGCGAATTTATCTTCAAACGGCTAAAGGCTTGGTATCGACAATGTTTCGATAGCAGCCACTGTTCATCCCTGCGTACGGTCCGGGGGGGACCCTGGGATGTCTCATTCGAAATGTCACATTTTAAGGACATATGGACATTCCTCGGTTTCAACTGGACCCTAAATTTTTCTCGTAGGAGCGCGCCCTTTATTGAAGTAATTAATCATCCTTTGTAACTGGTTACTGTTGATTCAATAAAGGAAACAAATGGCTTTTGTGTTGTTGGTGTGTGTTTTTTCTATTAAACATAAGAACTAATAACTTTCTTAGCACTAAAACTGTATTTAGTAATAGTGACGGAAGAAATTAGCATGAATAAAGTAAAACAAAACACACTTAGTTGTCAGAGTCTTTTTTATAGCTTATTTTTAAGGTTTCATAGTTAAGTAGATGAACTACTAATGTTTTTGTTTCAGCAACACAAATCGGCATCCTTACTTTGTAACCGCTACATGAATTCAATAAAAGAAACAAATTTTTTTGCTTTGTTGGTGTGTTTTATCTATTAAGCATTCACTAATAACGTTCTTAGTACTAAAACTGTATTTAAAAATAGTTAGAAGCAATAACATCAATAAAATGAAACAAAAAACACACGCAGTTGTCAGAGTCTTTTTTTACAGCTTATTTTTAAGGCTTCGTAGCTAAGTAGATAAATTACTAATGTTTTTGTTTCAGCAACCTCGAACGACAACGAATCGGCATCTTTACTTTGTAACGCTACATGGAATTCAATAAAAAAATAAAATATTTTGCGTTGGTAGTGTCTTTTTTCTAATCAGGATTTATTAATAACTTTCTTAGTACTAAAGCTGTATTTAATGATAGTTAAAAACAATAGCATCAATGAAATAAAACAAAAAACGCACGAAGTTGTCAGAGTCCTTTTTTATAGCCTTTCTTGAAGGTTTTATAGGTAAATAGATAAATTACTAACGCTTTTATTTCAGCAACCTCCAACATCAAGGTTTTTTTCTCTTTTTTACTTCCGGCTATGTTTTTGGAACGAGGAGCGTATAAAGAATACGTCTTTGAGGGTGCGCCCAGTCAACATCGAGTACTGCTTTGGCGGCCAGCGTTCCTGAAGAAACGCTTCAAATCACTGAAATCCGAATTAAGTAAGAGTTCGTCTACTCCAAGTTAGCAAGATGATTTGTACCTAGTCAGTAATGTGGTTGCACTTTGATGATCAATAAAGTTGTTTTACTATTGCGTTTCAGTGTCTTGTCTTGTAAAACCGCACAAAGTGAGACTAATATCTTTTAAATTGCACCTAAAGAGATTATCAGAGTATTATTTTGCCCTAAAACATGCGCATATTATTGTAATATGTTGTCTTTTTTCATCAATAAAGTTGCAAGCACACAATGATCTGTTCAATGTTTTCTTTTTCTACTAACCTACTATAAAACCTAGAAAGTTATAGTTCAGGAGCATGACACGCGACCTTTTTTGACAATTTTTTTCGGAGAATAAATGGAGGAGAGCTCTATACTGGGCGCGCCCTGTTCAAGAAGTGCAAGACATCATTTTCTGGTGTTTTCTGTTCAAGATGTCACTTTTTAAACCACATTCTTGGTGAGTCCATTGCAGCGATTCAGACCTGGAAGAAAGATGTCACGTTCTTCTAAAGGTAAGGCAAATGTTACGTATTTGAAGCTATTTTAACGTCCAAGTTTGAATTTTTGTAGTTTCCAGGTCTCACAAGCAGCAGGTGAGAGAGATGAGTATGCGGGCCTTTTGCATCTTGATAGATGAAAAGAGAACAAGGCATGTACCGTAAGTAGTTAAGAAATTTCACATTTTCACAGCACAGAAAGACTGAAAAAGTTTCAAGCTAGATATTTGTCAAAATGAAGAAACGTAACTGTCCATTATGTGCATATGAAATCCATCCACAGACGAGGTGCTGGACCATACTTTGACCGCGGTATTCCAACTTGTCTACAGACACATGTTCTTTCCCCACATTTCTTGTCAGTATTTCATTTCATACTAATCAATGTCTTGGAAGCTGTTGTTTATTTAAGCAGGCAAGGTGCTCCAGAAGTTCAGACTGAGATGCCCTCGTTAACGTGATTTAAAGCAGTGGCCTTGACTTGCCGTCTGGTAAGTGCACTTATTACAAATAAGAGAAATTTTAAAAAACTAATACATTTATGTCACCATCTGTCGAACGCAAACGAGAGAAAAAGGACAGAACTTTATCACTAAGGTTGAGCATCGCAAATCACGCAAACTGAATTTGAATTTTGTTTTAGTCTGGTCAGGAAATCCCAGATGTTTTAGCAGACCCGGGGGTCCTCCCTGTAATGGCTATGGGGGTAGGCTCCGCACGAAAGGAATGCCTTTTCAGGTTTTGTGTATATGAAAGGGGTCGGAACTCTGTCATTTCGGTCTGTAAAATGGCTCAACAGGGTTAAAAGATGCATTTCATGGCTGTGAAAAAGTTCAGAAAACGTTCCGGTTCGAGGTTTGTTTATAACTTCAAAGAGTGCATTTACAGCAGTTAAAATTGATACAAAGTGCTAAACAAGATGTATGAGAAGAGCACCATTTTTCAATAGAGGGTATGCTGAAGGGGTACTTTGTGCCAAAAAATGGTATATCAAAGGGTAAGGGGGTCGACCTAGGGGCGGAGCCTCCCCATATAAAAATTTGTTGAGTACCCCCCCGCCCCCTTCCCGGAATAGCAACTGACATAGTGGACTTTCGTCTTGGGTAATAGGAAGTTTCTATTCATTGAGCTTACCCTCTGATAACCTCATCCAATTTTTTCTCTCCTTTATTTTTTTTTCAGCGTACCAATCCAACAGCCAGTCCAACAGAGGCCGAACCATTTTGCACAGGCTCACCAATAGACCAGACAACTTTCTCTTAGCAGACCACCATGCAGTCCTGATCATTTTCCTGTTGGCATGACTACCAGACCAGCTCATACAAGGTAGGGCTGATTCTCATGGTGCATCGTCTGTTTAAAGCTGTTATCAATAACAACGCTGCATTAAGACAGGAGCGAATAGCAACCTTTCAGCTATATTTCATGAACGTGCTTGTGAGATAAGAGAGCAGTTTTTACAAACGTTGCACCATATCAATCAGCCCAAGTTTACAGAGGGACATCAGGTTAGTGACATTTGTTTTTCTTGTGTAATTTAGATCATTTCCGATTTTGATTCGGCTTTCGGCTTGTCTCCGAATTAAGCTTTAAACGGCTATACAGGCTTGGTATCGACAGTGTTTCGATAGCAGGCCGCTATTGACCCCTTCATACGGTCTGAGGAACTTTGGGTTGTAGCGTCCCGTACTATGGACATATGGTCATTCTTCGGTCTCGATTTCTTTTTATAGGAGCGCGTCCTTTATTTAAGTAATTAATTTTTCTCTTTGTAACTGATACGTACATGGAATTCAATAAAAGAAACAAATACTTTTGCGTTGTTGGTGTGTAGTTTTTCTATTAATAAGCCCGGAAATTTTTGTGGTAGGAGCGCGTTAATTATTCAACTAGCTAAATATTTAACATCTGTAACTGCAACAATTAATAAAAGAAAAAACCTCTTTGTTGCCGGTGTGTTGTTTTTCTAATAAATAGTTACTGATAACTCTCTTAGGTCAAGCTGTATTTAAAAAAACTTTTTTAAAAAAATAGCATCAATAAAAGTAAAACAAAAATATCCACGGTTGTCAGTGTCTTTTCTTATAGCCTAAACTGAGAGTTTTTTTAAGCAACTATGTAATTTGCTAATGCAATTTGATTTCAGCAACCTCGAACACCAACGTTTTTTCCTTTTTTGGACTTCCGATCGTCTTTTTCGAGCGAAAAATGAAGAATACATCTTTAAGGGCGCGTCCGGTCAACATCGAGTTTTGCTTTGTCTGCGTTCCTGAAGAAACGCTCTCTACTGATTGCGACTGAAGCAAGAGATCATGCACTAGAAGAGTATCTACGTGAATTGTACTCAATTATAATGTAATTGTACTTTGATGAACAATAAAGTTGTTTGAATGTTTAAACAAAAGGTGTTTGCCATTTTGTTGCTTTCTTATAATGGAAGTACAAATACTTTAATAAAACTGACGCAAGCGCATAGAAGTTTTGCACCTCGCTGTGCGCAAGTTAATGTAATAACTTGAACTTTGTGATCAATAAAATTAAAAAAAATAGAGGATTCATGAGTCGTTTTTTTTTTATACTAACGCAACATAATATCTAGAAAGTTGTATTTCAGGAACATGGGACGCGAACTTTTTTCTTTTTATTTTCTGCCATCGCTTTTCGGAGAATTAATGGAAGACACCTTTTTTACCGGGCGCGCCCTTTCGAAGAACTTGCAAGAAGTCATTTTTTTTTTGGCTCTGAGAAGAACGTACAAGACATCGGCGTTTTCTTTCAAGATGGCTACTTTATTTTCTAACATTTTGGATGTGTTAATTGTAGAAAGGCTTGGGGCCAGATTTGGACTGAACGAAGAGTTAAAGTGCCGAAGGTAAGAGTCATGTTAAATCGAACAAGGTATTTTCACGTTCCAGATTGTTTTCTGTTTTAGGTCACACGCTATAAGGGGTCAGTGAGTGCAACTGTCCACAATGTTCAGAAGTGACAAGAGAGTAAAGAAAATAGCGTACGAACCGTAAGTACAAACGAATTAGGTATCCTGCAAACTGACAAAGAAATTACAATACCATTCACCAAAGCTAAAACGAGTTTCAAGCTTGTTATGTTTCGCTGAATACTCCCAACTCTTGAAAAAGACTCGCCGACGAGTGGATGGACCGTGATTGGACCATAGATTCCTTAAGGTGGCGAGAGGCGATTGCGAGAATCAAGCCCTTTGACTTTTGTTCAGTGGTTTCTGGTAAGTGTTAAAGTTTGTAAGTGGAATCAAGCCACGTCACTGCTCCCTTAACGAACAAGACAGAAGCAACAGAGAGGCCTTCATTACAATGGCTCAAGTTATGATTCAGTTTTTCGCAGAAGTATTTCACTCAGATCAGAAAGTCCAAATTGTCTTAGCCGTGCAATGAAGTATATCTCTGTAGTAAGAGATTTGGAACCGCTCACATGATTCCCGTTTAAAAAGAGCATTTAAAACTAAAAAAGTTCCAAACGTTTCTCTTTAAAGCATGTTTAATCCAGTAGTTTTGTTGCTTTTGTCAGCATTTTCCATATATTTTTTCCGAGAACCTAATTGGAATTCTCGGTGCCGGTGATTTGAATGTATTGAATTCTCAAAGACAGCCAAAGTGAAAAATGTCACAAAAGTTCCATATTTTTTGGGGGTAAAATAATAAGATTTGAATAGAGCTGTTCGAAAGTTCTACTAAGGGAGGTTTCATTTGGATGGCAACATCGGAGGATTTCTCCTAAATGATAAAACGCTAGAGTGAAAAATCATGCTTCTCGCCATAACTTAGTCTTGTAGCGAAAGGAAATCTTTTCAATGATTTTCATGGGGAACGGAAACAATCGCTTGCATTGTTTCAACGCCTCTTGTTTTCTAGAACTCTTTTACTTAGTCTACTTAGGTCACCCCAAGGAGTACAGGAGCTCAGAAAGCTGTCGAGAAGTCTCCACTTGTGATCCATGGGACGTTAAAGGAGGCGTCAAAGCAGAGGTTTGTACGAGATAGGAAAGTAATCCCTTTTGAGTTGTGATAGTAACCAAAGAATATGGATGAGAAAGACTACAATCCTAACAAAAGGTGCATGGAAAATACATTCGTATGAAAAAGTACAAATGCAATAAAGAAAAGAAGGAAACTTTAAGATGAAAAGGCAAGATAAAGAACAACATACGGAAATGACCCAGTTTTTAAATTTTTTATGTTTGGGGGCGCGGCCATTTTAACCCCTGTTGTAAACTAAGATTTGGACTGCCAAACCCTAAAATGTGTTTCGCAGATTATTACGACGACGTAAGTGGAGCTGCGAAAAGAAATCGCAACGAAATCAGAGAAAAGATAAAAACTGATTACAGATATCTTCCAAAGAAAGTTATATGAAAAGGAATTTATTTAAAACTGATGGTGTTTTGTTTGTTTGTATGTTTCAACAGCTACAAAGGAAGGAGCAAACCGCCTTAACTGCGCATGACTGACGCTGTTAAAAGGAATGACCAGATCGAGATGGAACGGGACATTCAAGTCTTTCATTAAAGCCTGAACTTTTAGAAACTCGGTCATTTCTTTCCGTGTAAGCAGAAAAAAAGAAACCAGAAACGTTCAATTCGAAAAATTAAAAATTGCAATTTCGTAGGAACTATGAGTTTGCTAAAACGTGAAATCGCGAAGAAAATGGGTCATTGCAAAACACAAACTTTTCTTAATGCAACGATGTATGGTGCGCGTTTAGTCCCCGATAGACGATCCAGTGTCCCTAACCAGCCATTTTCTCTGCTATCTTAAGTTAACACTTGAACATTGAACGAAATAAAAACGGAGTTTTTTTACCATAGAAAATAAAAATGTAGTTGAAAATGAAATACTAGAATAGCCGCAGCTTCAATGATATAAGTTGATTTGTAACTTGTAATAAATCAGTTACCTCAACGGAAACAAGATGTGCTCGCAACTTTCAATAAAGGCATTCAACGGACGATCAGATCGACTAATCTGGGACCTCCGAACTAACTAATGCTTGCATAACCTAACGCTTAACATAACCAGCTGTAACCATCTAATGGCTAAATTTCAGGGGTTCCAGATTACTTTGGTAAAAATCATTTTGGTGGGATTAAAAAAATACCGTTTATGCTGGGTTGTTGGGTGTATGAAAACATGAGCCTTTCCGTTGAGTTAGTGTAGCTTGTGTCTTCGAGCGATAGTCTTGATCATAACTTGTATTAGAAATTATTTAGGATCGGGACAGTGTAACGTCGAATATGAAGTCACCTGGCATCTTTAGAACTTGCACTCGCTTTGAAAGCATTTTAAGAAAACGAAAAAGGTCTTGTGCGAATCAATTGGTGATATTAACAGTTAGGACTTGTCGTGACAAAACTGAGTTTTAGTGTGAAATTGATGGGTAGTGTAAAAAGACAAATAAAAAGTATCTTTTGCTGGAACTTGCGTTATCATTTTAACGCACTTGTCAATAATTCAATAAATTTCCCTGTTTTGTCTCGTTGAGTGTGATGAGTGTTGTCTGGTG